GATTGCAAGGATGTGCTGCCACGCCTGGCTTTTATTTGGCTTTGAGATGGGGTCTCACTGTGTAGACCTGGCTCTTCTAGAATCCACTCTGTCACACAGGCTGGCTTCAATTTACATTGCTCTGCCTGCCTCTGCCTCCCGAGTGCTGTGATCAAAGGTGTGTGCCACCACACTCAGCAGGCCCAGTTTTTAAGAAAATGCTTCTTGGGACCAGAGAGGTGGCTCAGCAGCTAAGGGCACACATGGCTCCCTCAGAGGCCCCAGTTTGCTTCCCAGCATCCATATGCAGCAGCTCACAACCACCTTTAGCTCCAACTCCCGAATGTCTGATGCCGTCTGCTGACCTCTGGGGGCCCAGCACTCATGTACACCCTACAGGGGCTCGTGCGCACACACAGAATGAAAATCTTCAATAAATTATTATTTTTTTAAGAAAGAGAAAGGAGCCGGGCGGTGGTGGCACAGGCTTTTAATCCCAGCACTCGGGAGGCAGAGGCAGGCGGATCTCTGTGAGTTCGAGGCCAGCCTGGTCTACAAGAGCTAGTTCCGGGACAGGCACCAAAAGCTACAGAGAAACCCTGTCTCGAAAAACCAAAAAAAAAAAAAAAAAAAAAAAAAAAGAAAAGAAAAGAAAAAAAAGAAAGAAAAGAAAAAGAAAGGAAGTACCTTTTTAGGGTTGGTGAGATGGTTCACTGGGTGAATACTGCCAAGCCAATGAGCTGGGTTCTAGTCCCAGAGTCACACGGTGGAGGAAAGAACCAACGCCTGCCAGTTGTCTTCTGACCTCTACACACACGTAACATCTACACCGCGGCAGGTAAGTGTCCCCGCCCCATAAATAAATACATGGAATAATTTTTTAAAAATATTTATTTATTGGCGCACGCCTTTAATCCCAGCACTCGGGAGGCAGAGGCAGGTGGATCTCTGTGAGTTCAAGACCAGCCTGGTCTACAAGAGCTAGTTCCAGGACAGGCTCCAAAACCACAGAGAAACCCTGTCTCGAAAAACCAAAAAAAAAAAAAATATTTATTTTTTATACAATATTCTCTCTGTGTGTATGGCCAGAAGAGGGCACCAGACCCCATTACAGATGGTTGTGAGCCACCATGTGGTTGCTGGGAATTGAACTCAGGACCTTTGGAAGAGCAGGCAATGCTCTTAACCTCTGAGCCATCTCTCCAGCCCCCTGGAATAAATTTTAAACATATTTTTAGAAGTTTTTTTAGACAGTTTCACTCTGTAGACCAGGCTAGACCCAGATTCACAGGACTCCACTTGCCTCCTCCTCCTAAATGCTGGGATTAAAGTTGTGTGCCATGTTGCTTGGTTAACACTTTTTCTTAAAGTGTGTGTGTTGGGAGCCAGGCGATGGTGGCGCACGCTTTTAATCCCAGCACTCGGGAGGCAGAGGCAGGCGGATCGCTGTGAGTTCGAGACCAGCCTGGTCTACAGAGCTAGTTCCAGGACAGGCTCCAAAGCCACAGAGAAACCCTGTCTCAAAAAACTAAAAAAAAAAAAAAAAAAAAAAAAAAGTGTGTGTGTTGGGGATATGGTGGCGTTTGGTGTGTGAACGTAGCCGGACACATAGAGGAAAGTGGACTCCCTCTGGTTTGAGGCACGACTTTCTTCTTCTTTGCTGTCTGGTACACCAGGCTATCTGGCCATTGGGATCACAATGCTGGCTGCCACACCTGACTTCACATGGCGGCGTCTGGAGACTTGAATTCAGGGCCTCACACTTACACGGCAAGTGTTTTAGCCCTCGAGCTGCCTCCCCGCCCCTCTTTCAGCATTTTTAAAGGCCCCTCTCATTCAGACATTCTCTTGACACAATGGACGTTCATAGGCGCCAACTGCAGGCCAGGCGGCAAAGTCTTGCAGGGCATGGCACAGTGCCTTGTTCCTGAAGCTCCCAGGTTTTGTGGGGAAGACCAGGCTCTGGAGCAGCTGGCTGCACTCTGCAGTGGGGTGTGGGGTAGGACTCATCCAGACAGAGGCTCTGTCAGAACGGAGGTGGGGTCTGGCGGAGGGGGTATGGGCTTAGCCTTGAAGGGAGGGTGATTGGTGGTTACAATGAGAGAAAGGCCCCTGGGAAGGTTGGCGGTGTGGAGTGGTGAGGGTGGGAATTCAGGACAGAAGGCTGTCCCTTCCCAGAGTGGGCCCCCAGCCAAGGCCCGGAGGAAGGCTGGCATCTTCCAGGGAGGTGGAGCTTTTGGGGGCTCCCAGTGGGGGGTGGGCATTGATGGTGACCTCCCTCCATCCCTGTCCTTCTCATCATCTCCCTTTCAGTGGACGCCTGAGGTATTGTTCCTCTTTTGTAAAGAGGGAGATCGGGTAACAAAGCCCGGTGGGTGGGCGGGCAGCCCAAGGGGCCTCTTCTCTTCTCTCCCCAAGCAGCGTCTAACACCGAGGGGTAGGCGGTTCGGCAATGTCCCATACACACACACACACACACACACACACACACACACACACACACACACACCTCTGGCTTCCCAGGAGCTGACTGTTGCCATAGTGACAGGCAGACCTTACATCCCACTGGCCCCTGGAGTACCCTCCCCACTATGGCTGCCAGAGTTAGGGACCCTAACTCTTTTGCATCCTGGAGCGGGAGGCAGGGACATACAAAATAGGGCTCCCAGGCCAGGCTCTGCCTCCTAACTGGCTTTGAGGAAATGGACAACTGGAGAGAACCCTAGTCATTCAGACAGGTGTTCAGGAGGCAGGGCTAAACCTTGAGATCAGAGATAAATGAGCACTGACCCTGGTGCTCGGCTGTTGCTGCCCTGCAAAAAAAGGAAGGGAAAGATGGACAGGGGCTCATGTGGTGGATGGGGACACCGGACTCCAGAGCTGAGCTCTGTCCAGAAGAGGTGGGGACTGTCCCTAGGAGGTAAGGATAGCTGGAATGAGAGGGGAAAGGCCTTGGGGGTGTTTGTGAAATTAAAAAAAAAAACAAAAACAAACCAACCAACCAAATAAACAAACAAACAACCAGCCTGGGGGTGGTGATGCACACTCAGATCTCTGTGAGTTCGAGGCCAGCCTTGTCTACAAAGTGAGTTCCAGGACAACCAGAGCTGCTACACAGAAAAACTCTCGAAAAACCAGAACAACAACAATAACAACAAATCTTAGAGAATGGAGAAGTAGCTGTAGTCGTGGGGAGGGGCTGGGAAGAATACTATGAGGGGGGAGGGGCTTTGATTGGAAGGGCACCCCCAGGGATCTTGGGGATTGGAACTCAGTTCCTCACACTTGCTCAGAAACTCCTTTACTGCCTAAGTCGGCTCCCCGTCCCGTTTAGGTCTTCGGCCGTATCTCCTGTATCTCTGGGGATTCCCAGGGCTGAGTTTGCGTACAGGGCTGGCTGCAGCTTCACAAAGCCCCTTCTCTTCTGTCCTTTCAGAGGTAGAGGCGCTGGGTGCATGCCAATGATAGCATATGTTTGTCTTTGTCGCTGCTGAGCTCCGGCTCGGCTCTCAGGGAGCTGAGAGACGGTGGGCAATGGCTGCCCCATTTTCTCACTGTGGCCAGCAGAGCTGTCCCAACTCTTTCCTGAATCCCAGCTCTAAATATAGCGGGAGGGGATTGGTAAAGCCGGAACACTTGGGCATCTGACTTTCCGTGAGTGTGTGTGTGTGTGTGTGAAAGAGAGAGCGAGAGACAGACAGGCAGGCAGGAAAGCAAGATTGCCTGCCAGACCTGCCCTCTAGGGGGCACGTGAATCTGAGTAAGTCCTTTCACCTTCAGACTTGCACAGAGGCCACAGGCTGAGCTGGAGGACCATCACGAGGCTGAAAGCATCACTGAAATGCCTGGCTGAAGGGCAGGAAGCCTGTCACCCCAGCACTCAGGAGGTGGAAACGGGGTGAGAAGTTCAAGGTCAGCCTTTGATGTTTAGTGAGTTTGATGCCAGCTTGGACTACGTGAAACAGCCTCAGAAACAAACAAATGCGGAGTCTGAGAGATGGGCCAGGGTTAAGAGCACTGACTGCTCTTCCAGAGGACCTGGGTTTGATTCCCAGCACCCACATGGTGACTCACAATTCCAGTCCTCTTTGGTGGTGCACAGACTTACACACAGGGAAAACACCCGAACACACAAATTAGAAAATGTAAAAATTAAAAACAAAGCAAAGCTGGGCGGCGATGGCACATGCCTTTAATCCCAGCACTTGGGAGGCAGAGGTAGGCGGATCTCTGTGAGTTCGAGGCCAGCTTGGTCTAAAAAGCAGCTCCAGAACAACTAGGGCTACACAGAGAAACCTTGTCTCAAAACAAACAAACAAAGCAAAACAACAACATCGAAACAAACAAAAGGAGGCTTCAGAGAGGTGGTTCAACAAAAAGGTCATAATGACTTAAGTTCAGTGGGCAGGTCCCACATAGTGGAAGGAGAGAACTGATTCCCCCAAATTGTCCTCATACGCATGCAGTTTTGTGAGTGTGCATGCCTGTGCTTGCATGTCACACACGCGCACGCGCGCAAACACACACACTCATACGGGTGTGCGATAAATGTAATGAAAACCAAACTACCAAAGCTTAGTCTGGGTAAATGGCTTAGTTGGTAGAGTGCTTGTCCAGCATACAGAAGGCTCTCTGGCGGCAGCCCTTAGGAGGCAGGAGGATCAGGAGTTCAAGGTGAGCTTGAGGCAACTGGGTTATAGGAGACCCTGTCTCAGAAATAACAAGATCAACAACAAAACATCCTGAGGAGGAGGCAGAGAAGGGCCTTGCCTAGGGCTTGCCTGGGGCTTGGAGACCTTCGGGTGACCCCCTTCCACCTGGGGTGAAAAGGGCGCACGCGTGGTTATGTCCCCGCGGACTGTCAGTCTGCAAAGCAGGGGAAAGGCCCAACCACCTCCAGCGTGGCAGACAGGCGCGGCACCTTTAAAGCCCGGCGGGGGCGTGTCCGGTGAGAATGCCCCGCCCCCGGGCGTGTCTTTCCACTGACCACGCCCTCTAGATTCGGAGCTGTGGCGCCCGTGGCTGAGACCGCGCGGGCTCTGGCTCGAGTGGTGGCAGCAGCGGCGGCGGCGGCAGCGTCTGTTCCTCCAAAGGCGCCGTGCGCTCCGGGACACACGTGGGCGGCCGGGAGATGGCGCGCGGCTCGCGACGTGGCGCGCAGATCCCGGGACGCGGGATGGAGCGGCGCGAGTGAGCCTGAGCCGGGGCGGCCGCGCCGCGGGGCGATGGCCGTGCCACCGCTGCTCCGCGGGGCGCTGCTGCTGTGGCAACTGCTGACGACGGGCGGCGCGGCGCTGGAGATCGGCCGCTTCGATCCGGAGCGCGGCCGTGGTCCTGTCCCGTGCCAAGCGGTGGAGATCCCCATGTGCCGGGGCATCGGCTACAACTTGACCCGTATGCCCAACCTACTGGGCCACACGTCGCAGGGAGAAGCGGCTGCGCAGCTGGCTGAGTTCGCGCCTCTCGTGCAGTACGGCTGCCACAGCCACCTGCGCTTCTTCCTCTGCTCGCTCTACGCCCCCATGTGCACCGACCAGGTCTCCACTCCCATCCCCGCCTGCCGGCCAATGTGCGAGCAGGCTCGCCTGCGCTGCGCCCCCATCATGGAGCAATTCAATTTCGGCTGGCCGGACTCGCTCGACTGCGCCCGGCTCCCCACGCGCAACGACCCGCACGCGCTCTGCATGGAGGCACCGGAGAACGCCACCGCAGGCCCCACAGAACCCCACAAGGGCCTGGGCATGTTACCTGTGGCACCTCGGCCCGCGAGGCCACCTGGAGATTCAGCCCCAGGTCCCGGCAGTGGTGGCACCTGTGACAACCCCGAGAAGTTCCAGTACGTGGAGAAGAGTCGCTCGTGCGCTCCGCGCTGCGGGCCAGGTGTCGAGGTGTTCTGGTCTCGGCGCGACAAGGACTTCGCGCTCGTCTGGATGGCAGTGTGGTCTGCGTTATGTTTCTTCTCCACAGCCTTCACCGTCTTCACCTTTCTGCTGGAGCCTCATCGATTCCAGTACCCCGAGCGTCCCATTATCTTCCTTTCCATGTGCTACAACGTCTACTCTTTGGCTTTCCTGATCCGAGCGGTGGCAGGTGCACAGAGTGTGGCCTGCGACCAGGAGGCAGGAGCTCTGTATGTGATCCAGGAGGGTCTGGAAAACACAGGATGCACCCTGGTCTTCCTATTGCTCTATTACTTTGGTATGGCCAGCTCACTTTGGTGGGTAGTTTTGACTCTCACTTGGTTCCTAGCTGCAGGCAAAAAATGGGGCCATGAGGCCATTGAGGCCCATGGCAGCTACTTCCACATGGCAGCTTGGGGCTTGCCAGCTCTCAAGACTATCGTGGTCCTGACGCTGCGCAAGGTGGCTGGGGATGAACTGACGGGGCTCTGCTATGTAGCCAGCATGGACCCGGCAGCCCTCACCGGCTTTGTGTTGGTACCCCTCTCTTGCTACCTGGTACTTGGCACCAGTTTCCTCCTGACCGGTTTTGTGGCTCTCTTCCATATACGCAAAATAATGAAGACGGGTGGCACCAACACGGAGAAGCTGGAGAAGTTGATGGTCAAGATCGGAGTTTTCTCTATCCTGTACACAGTGCCGGCCACCTGCGTCATCGTCTGCTACGTTTATGAGCGCCTCAACATGGATTACTGGCGCCTTCGGGCCACCGAGCAACCATGCACTGCTGCCACTGTGCCTGGAGGCCGAAGAGACTGCTCGCTGCCAGGGGGCTCGGTGCCCACTGTGGCTGTCTTCATGCTCAAAATCTTCATGTCCTTGGTGGTGGGCATCACCAGTGGAGTTTGGGTATGGAGTTCCAAGACTTTCCAGACATGGCAGAGCCTGTGTTACCGAAAAATGGCAGCTGGCCGAGTCCGAGCCAAAGCCTGCCGGGCCCCAGGGGGCTATGGCCGTGGTACTCACTGCCACTACAAAGCCCCCACGGTGGTCTTGCACATGACTAAGACAGATCCATCTCTGGAGAACCCCACACACCTCTAGGGACATGGGCTTGGTATGGACTATGGCTGCTCCTTCCTCCCCCTCCCCTCCCCCCTTGGGAGACAGCTGAGTAACAGCTGCCCAGCTGTCAAGGTCAGGCGAGGGAGACACTGGGGGCTAAGGACTAGGGTAGAGACCCAGTAAGGCTCATAGGCTCGTTCTCTCACAGGGAGCATGCCTAGTTGAGGCCCCAGAGGGTCCTAGAAGGGGCAGACGAGAACAGGGTCCAGTGCGGGGCTTATTTAATGATGTAATTTATTGTGGCGTTTCTCTGGAAGCTGTGGCTGGAATAAACCCTCATGTGGCACCGCCTTGTCCTATCTGTGCTGGAAAGAGGGAAGACCAGGCAGAAGGGAGAGAAACTTCATAAACAGAGCTGGGGGTGAGAGGCCGTGAGGCTCATGCCATGACCCGTTTTCTGGCTTCCTGTGAAGGAGAGGGAGCCATGGCATCTGTGCATTATAGGAGTGTGTGTGTGTGTGTGTGTGTGTGTGTGTGTGTGTGTGTGTGTTAGGTGTTCTCACTTGTCTCAAGACTGACACCCATGCCTTTGAAGTGGAACAAGGACACCTCCTTCATGAATACCTCAGGAATCCCTGGGTGTGACATGGCTCCTCTAGCCCTAGCAGGGTCGTCCAGCCTGTTTGGGGGAACAGGTAAGCTGCTTTTTCACATTTTGCTTTAGAAAACAAAGGGGGTCGGGGCTGTCAAGGTAGCCTGGTGGGTAAAGGTGCTTGCCGCCAAGGCTAAGGACATGAGTTCAATCGCTGGGACTCACGTGGTGGAAGAAGGGAACCAACTCACACAAATTTTCCGTGGCACAACCCCCTTCTAATACACAAAGAAATGTGATGTCTTTAAAAAGCAAGTCCTTCCAAGTCATCCTCTACTGAGTCTGTGAAGACTGCTGGGAGCAGGGAAGCAACTCCATGGTAGGGTACTTGCCTAGCATGCCTTAAGCCCTGGGTCCCACTGCCAACATGCCTTAAAAGAGGCATGGCTAAGCATGTTTATAATCCAAATACTTGGGAGGTAAAGGCAGGAAGATCAAGAATTCAGGGGCATCCCCTAGCTACGTAAGATTCTATTTGGAGGAAAAAATAAAATTTAAAGGGAAGGAGCAGACCAGATGGCTCAGCAGGTAAAGTTGCTTGCCACCAAGCCTAATTTGAGTTCAATAACTTGAACCCCATTGGTAGGAGAGAACCAGCTACCATGAACCTGAGCCCCCCCCCCCCCATGAGTAGATGTAAAAATAGTTTTCAAAGTATTATTGTTTGGCAAGTAAGAAGCCTTGTCTCAAAGGAAAAAAAAAAACGCCTTAACAATATCATCAACAACAAAATCCTTCAATAACAGCAACAACAACAAAAATCAATCTTTGGTATTTGGAGCCCTAAGCTCTATCTTCTTATTTTTGGATAGGGGAAGATGGGGCTTGAATATGCAAGCCATCTTGGTAGTAGTCTTGGAGGTAGGGAGCTATTGAGTCAGTGAGAACTTTGTCTCTAGCTCCAGAACACGTAGGAAGATTTGGGGTGCTGACAGCAGCTGTGAGGATGTGCACAGCTGTGCTGGGCCAGTCGGCAGGTCAGGAAAGCACCATGGATACCTGTCTGCTAGACCTACCCTATTCCTGTACCCTGAGGTATGTATGGTCATCCTGGAGGTCCCGATCAGCTCCATCTGGCTTCTTAAGTCTTTATCATCTCACTGAACTACACCCCGCTTTTGCTGTGAGTGCTCAGTTTGACCTCAGGTTCTTATGCTCCCACAGCACATGCCCACTGTACCATCTTCCCCCATCCCTAGGCAAAGATCTTGATGTCTTCTACACATAGGCAGCCCTCAAAAAGTTGTGTGTGTGTGTGTGTGTTTGAGACAGGGTCTCTTTACATAGCTCTGGCTGTCCTGGAATTTGTAGTTTAGGCTGGCCTCAAATTCAGAGATTTGCCTGCCTCTGCCCATGTGTGCTGGGACTAAGGGCACATTACTTCACCTGGCTAAGGAAGGTTTTAGAAATTGTTTATTAAATATCATATCGCACTTCATGTCTTTATCTTGTTAGCTGAAGTGGGAATAGGGAATATAAAACACCTCAGTTACATGCAGTTACCCGAGAATAGCATGCGTGTGCAACTGGACCATGATAGGAACTTGTTGCACACACTTTAGCTTAGCTTTGCTGGGGGCAAACCCAGGGCTTGAAGCATGCTAGACAGGTGGTCTACCACCGAGTCACACCTTCAGGCTTTCCTAGGAAATCCTTTATACTGTTTATTGTATATGGAATGTCTCTTCTCTGTAAGGAACTTTGTTCACACCATGTCTTTGACCACAAAGCCAGTGACCTTGCCTTGTATCTCCTGCAAAGGTTCTTGCCTAAGAGCTTTATAGCCTCTATTGGGAGTGGGAAGGGAGTGGCTTCTCAGGACTTGTTCATGGACCTGTAGGATTTTGGCAGTCGGATACCTGAAAAGGGAAAGGCAGGGGTTGCACTGAGGGAAGCATTTAATGGCAACCAGTGCACCCCTCTACCCTTGCTCGTCTGTGGGTAAGGGAGAGGTTAGGACTTGGCTATCTATGCAAGAAACAAGACTGGCTTCCAGAGAAACCAGGAGGGAAGATGGGAAGCAGGGATGGGCAGTGAAGGACATGCTGAGTTGGTCAGAACTCGGGAGGGGAGTATGCTGGGAGGCCCACGCTCTAGAGGCAGAGCACTGCCTGGAGCTTTCCCTGTTCTATGGTTAAGGCTGTGTTTGGAGCAGGCCGCAGCCTCTCATGGGAGTGGGTGTGAGTGAGGTGTATGCTCCAGGCAAGTGCTATGCCACTGTCACTTTCTGAAACAAGGTCTAAATTTCCTGGGCCAGCTTGAACTTCTGATCTCTGCTCAGCCTCTCTACAGGCATGGCTTTTAGTAGCCACTTTAACATCCAGCTGCCACTTAGGTCCCACTAACAGGGCCAGGGCCATTGCTGGAGGATGGCATGGCTTTACATACACATGTGCCTGGAATACCCACCCGAGGAACAAGACTTTGCAGATGTGGGGCAGAGTGACACTCAAGGAGTGGACATTAAACACAGTTCTTTCCCAGAGTGGGTGAGCTGGAACTGGTAAGCAGGCGGCGGTATCTGAAGGGCCATTTTCTCCTTCGTGCTCAGTGCAGGCCAGGCTGGTGGAAGTAACAGTACCAGAACCTGTAAGCAGGACTGATACGTTCTGACTACCTCCGTGGGGTGAGAGGCCCAGCAAAACCTTTCAATTTCATAGGCAGGCTACTGCCCAGCAAGGAACTACTCACATCCACTGACTTTAAAATATGAAGCACAAAAACAAGGAGGTGCAGGACAGAACTGCAGGGGCCAAGTGCATGCAAATTCAGCACACTGTTCATGCTCTAAAATAACCTGGCTTTCAGGGCTGCACTGCCCACCACTGCCCGAAGACAGAAAGGAATCACCCAAGCTGTCTCTTCTTTATAAACACAAGTACATAATGTTTATTTGAAATCCAATTTATTACAAGTCTACCTTTAGCCGCAGCCCTTCCTCCTTTAAAACAATTTAAAAAGCCACCATGCAGATGTCACTGCAGTGGAAATACCAGTTTTCTGCTTAAACACCAGTTAGAAGCAAGGAGGTTGAGGTGCCAGGGATCACGGCATCAGTGTTAGTGCTTACCCCAACCTAGCCCACAGAAGAGGGGAGGAAAACCTTCCTCAGCCACTGGACTGGGTTATACACAGAAGTCACAGCCAGGCCTTCCCTCAGCCCAAGTGGTGAACCTCTTGGCCTGGTGGGCTTCCTTATCTTCCTTTAAATAAGGAGAGCTGAGTGGCTTACATTTTCCAAATTCAAAATAGATAGAAAAGAAAAGTTAAACCCTGTCTTGTACTTTTATCAAAATCTGTCATAAAAGGGAAAGCAGACTACAAACTTTTGCCTAAATACAACACGAGGCTAGACTGGCAACGAAGGGCAAAGCTGGCCCTCCCCACCTTCTCCTGCTGCTGACACTGGCTACAGTCCACTCGGAAGGACTAGGTCTGCAGGGTGGGCCCTGGAGGAGTGGGTACCCACAGGAAAGGAGAGTGCCACCAGGGCAGAGAAAGGGCTCAACCCCAGATCCCGCTGCCCTCTCTGAGGAGGGGAGTAAAGCGAACACATATCATAGAAACTGTACTGTACATGTGCCAAAGCAAGATGACAAGTATTTTACAAGATGTTCTTTATACAATATCACTGCAGAAACAAGCAACTTTAGTAACTACAAAAGTCAATTTAAAAAATTAAAACATTTTAACTTCTTCCTGCTCTTTTTTTGGCTCCCTAGGGGCTTGTCTGGTTTGCGGGTGGGCTGGGCCCCAACACCCCTCTGTCCAGACCCATCAAAGCCAAGATCATAGCATGATTAGAAGCAGGACTCCAGTCTCTACGGGAAGTGCCTTAGTTTGCTTTGTTTTTTATGAGGCGATGAGGGGTGAGGGTGGGGAAGGGCTGCACAATGGAGAGGGTGCTCAGGAGCAGCTCCAAAAAATGCCATGATCAACTCAAAGCCCACACTGTCCCAAGATGCTGGTGAACACAGAATTCTGTATGGCACTAGCTGATACTGTCACCTGAGAGGGGGAGGAAGAGATAGTGCGGACATAAAGAAATAGGACTGTATATAAATATAAATTCAAAAAGATCCACACCTCAACCAGCATGGCCAGATGATGCTCCTTCCTACTGTGGGGTACAGTACCCTCTCTGGAGACCTGGGCTTGGCACTGTTGTAAAGGCAGGAGGGGGAAGAGGAGGACGAGGGCAGAGCTCACAGGAGAAGCCATACCCAGGCTTCTCCCAGCTCTCAGAACTCGGGTCCACTTCTGCTGCTAGTTTTTCTGGACAGGGTTCACCGGGCCAGTACCATACTCCCTAAGAGCTTGGCTTTGCTTGAAAAGGGCCCCATGGGGAGTTGCAGAAAAAGCCCAAGCTTGGCATGACAGGCATTTCTGGATGCTACAGTCACTTCCCCTTTAAGCCCTCCCAGCTTCTTTCTTGCCTCTCCCACACCCTTTGGTGTTCTCCTATTCCCCCTCTATGGCTGCCTTGCTAGGGCCCTCTTTACTTCTTCTGTCTTCGTCCCCTGGACTGTCCAACAGACTCTGAATCACTGTCCCCTTCATCGTCAGCGAGCCTATCAGGAAACTTCCTGCGTTTCCTGCGGACATAGGGGTGGCCAGGGAGGTGTTTATGCAGCAGAGCCAACAGACACTGCTCTGTCTTCCCCATACAGCTTAGCACGTGGCTGCCACGGCAG